TCTCAGCTTTGTCCTTTATACTTGCAGTAAAGATATCCTTTGTATCCTGGTCCTTCAGTTTTTGAGTGTTGAACTTGGCTTGTGGCCTATCTGCAGCTCCTGATTCTCTGAAAGCTTTTAATTTGAGTTGGATTGTTCCTTGTACGAGGTAGTGGTCTGAGCCAACGTCTGCTCCTCTTCTTGCTTTTGTGTCCAGTAGGCTGCGCCGCCACTTCCTCGAGATTGTGATGAAGTCAATTTGGTTTTTGGTTCGCCCATCTGGTGACACCCATGTAGCCTTGTGAATATCCTTGTGTTTGTATACGCTGCCACCAATCACTAGTTCATTGAAGGCGCAGAAGTCGGCGAAGAGTTCTCCATTTTCATTCATCTCTCCCAGAGCTTCTTTACCCATGATGAGTTCCCTTCCTGTGTTGTCTGGTCCAAGTTTGGCGTTCATGTCTCCCATTAGTATTTTAATGTCACCGGCTGGAGTATTGTCTATTGCTGCCTGTAGTTGTCTGTAGAATTCTTCTTTCTTTTCGAGGTCTGCGTTGTTTGTGGGTGCATAGCATTGTATAATTGACACTTTTCTTCCTTTGGAGTTGAATCTGGCGCTCATTATTCTGGGTGAGATCGCCTCCCACTGTATCAGAGCCTTGGTTGCCGTTGGTGACATCATTATAGCCACGCCCTCGGTGTGTGTGTGGTTGTCTTCTGGGTGACCGGAGTAAATCACTGACTCACCTGTTGACAATTTGGTGAGTCCGTTTCCGTTCCATCTGCTTTCGCAGATCCCCAATACTTGTAGTCCGTATCTTCTCATTTCGCTTGCGATCTGGGCAGCTTTGCTAGTCTCGTACATGGTGCGGACATTCCATGTCCCCACACAGACTTTTTCTTTTGACGCAAGGAGATTGTTCACGCTGAAGTTTCTGTAGCAGGTTTGTTTACAGGGTGGGGTTGCTGGCCTCACGCCTGAGTTTAGTCTTTGGGTACCTGAAATAGAAGAAAGGTTAGTGGTGCGTGACCGCAGAGCCCAGGGGACATCTGCTTGAGGCCGGTCACACACGGCCTGGTGTGTCTCAGTAGTGTACTTATCACTTCTGCCCTGTGACACGGCAGCAGAGAGCGCGGTCGTTGTTAATCTGGGTCACAGCCTCGTGTGTAACGGTAAATAATTCCCCAAAATTATTGACCACAGCAATCATCACTGAACATCGGATGCTAACCCTCACTGTTTAAGTCGACTTGTTTAGCTGAAGGGTTCCGGTCAAGCATCCTTGCCATTTGGTACTCCATAGTGTCACCTGCGTGCACAATCACTAGCTAGATAAGCACTCGAAACGGTTTACTATTTGGTCCCGAAATATATCTCGTACTTTGGACGACTAAGTCTGGTCTTTTGCTTTGTATTTGGTACACGAGAAACGAATTTTTTAGAAGTTGTTGGTATAAGATCTTGCGTCAGTATACTCCGTACAATTCGCGAACGTCAATACGGTCAGCCTCCAAAGACTGGTTGTCACGACAGTACTATGATGTTTAGAACTGGATTCGACTGAGTTCTCGTGTGATTATTATGATATTCATTAATAGTAGTATTATTATATTGATATGCAGAAGACAGAGGAAAGCATTTGAGTAGTTAGTTGAGTAGTAATGATGTGGTGAAATAAGTTATTAATGCTGAACTTTACGCAAATTGAGACAACTATTCACTGGGCTATGCGAGCAAGCCACCACATCAGTTCCTAACATATCTCTGATTTAGTCTTCTAATAGTTTTTTGCCCTTAATACAGTCTGGTAGGTTGACCAGTGTACAGGGAATTCGCTGGACTGACAAGCTGTTCACTGATATATATGTGGTATTAAAGAAGAAATCTAATTAAGACAGTTGATGGTGAAATGTTTGATGATGAAAGGATTATACGAGGCGTAAAATTGTGGAATTGTAACAATCACAGTATCTGCCAACTCAAATAGACAGAAATTATTCAAAATGAGTAGTGATGAGCTTTTTATGTTAGCTGAGTTCTCATTAGATGGAGAAGCGTTTCAAGTACAAACAGGGAATACGCTTTCACTAATAACAACTAACTTTGAACAGTGTAACAAACACTCGACTAGTGCTACGATCGGATCTCGGTCAAATGAGTGTCCATCCCATTACGAATTACTTCGATGGTAGAATAAGACAGTTCAGAAATGGGTTGATCATTGCTGAGTTCTGTTCCTCTAAGTTATGCGAAAACAGTAAGTACATAACGTTCCACACCGAACTAAGCGTGTCATCACCCACCAACTGATCTACCTGAACGCAAACCTTCAACAATCATCCAAACACATTTGAAGTCATGTGAAAACATACCCTAGAGGTCACACTCATGTCACGAGGATACTGACGAAGTGGAATACATAACTAAGATGGTTGTATATAATCCGCTGTTAATCTCAATATGCTACTGTGAATCATTTCAGTTAGTTCACACGCAGTCTGTCTATATCACTTTGAAAGACAGTCAGTTGTTTGAGGAAAATTTTAGTAGTTAGTTAGTAATACTATCTCAGTAAGAAAATGTCTTACAGGTGGTGTAATTGCATCCCATTACTTCACCACAAAGCCATCGGAACACCCTGTCGAATTTCCTACAGCTGTTGTATAATCTAGGCTATAGGAGATTGACAGCTACACACTTACTCTAATTGGATTTCAAAATGTCAATAAACATTCTGGAAGCACCGTCCAAATACTGTCTGCAATAATCATATAGGTACTTATACTTGAATAAACCACTTGGGATCACGACGGTATATAAGCTAATCACTATACAACATGTTGCAACAAGCGTTTTGCTATCTCCTGTGAGACTGGTTATACACTCGTCCCCTGAGTTGATTGTAGTGGCATTTAGCATTTTTAAAACGCAGGATTTCCTTTACAACTCCTACCTACGTATGTTGTTACAACTTAGATGCATTGTCGAAAAGCACACAACCGAAGTGGGTGGCTGAAATTACAAATTATTACTGCAGTTTGTATGTCTGAGTTAGAACATTAAATTTATTGATACGAGACGAGATTGATGGATGGCATAAGAAACCCAATGTTTTCTGTTCAAGCTCCATTCCCACTGTCGATCCACGCTCTTCAGTTTAACTTGCCATGCAAAGACTTCAAAACAAACTATAGCACAAATCTTATCCAGTCGGCTGTATTCACTATTGACAAGTCGATATCAGGGCTAACATGTAATCTGAACAAGTGACAAGAATTCTACCACATTTTGTCTCCTAGCAAACAGCCAAATCACAGTAGTCAGACATAGTGTATTTTCATTAGCTCAAACATTACGTTCCTAAACACACACACGAATTACCCTCTGATTCTTCGGATTTTCTTCACAGCACTGAGATGACTGCATGTCATCTGAACACCTTAAATTAGGCAAAATCCTCGTCTCCATCAAACCTCTGGAGTGACATTTTGAAAATAAACCATGTAAAGTAGGACGTTCATAAGATGGGAGAAACACCAATTCAAGCGTCTGACTAGTTTGTTCAACACTTCTATATCAGCTGAAATTGCCAAAGTATCATTCATTGGTCGTGCATCACTACTCTCTAGCACTTACAAAGACTCCTAAAATATATACTCTACTATTCAGCTGTGCAACACAACTTATGAAATCAAACACATCAGTCCTTTTGAGTGAAAGTTCACCACACCACCAGTAATAATAAACTAGAATGCCGCACTTCAATGTGCAGTAAGTCCCACAACAGATAGCAAGAAACACAAACTTTCGCCATAAATCATCCAGCTCAAACAACACATCACCACCATCAGAAACATCCACAAATCTACTACTCCATTATTATTTTAGTATCTTATGAAGCGGAAAATATGCTTCTATTCTACTATATCTGACACAACTTACACGTCATCCTCAACACTAAATACAGTCTCGCATTCATTCATTCACTCACACAAGCACAACTGTCATTCTGGAAACAGCAGCTCCTGCTGTGTCTGAATTAGGACTGAGTGAAGAAAGGGGTCTCACTATTTATCTATGAAAATAAAATAGAAAATCTACACCTATCACTTCGTAGACACTTTATTCTATCTCAGAAACAAGGGTCTGATAATTCTACTACACGTTATAGGCCATCAACAAAAGACTCCAAAATAACACCGAATAAACTACTATCGGAGTTTAAAATCCCACACCAGTTGGTCAACGAACACAACTCACAATCAGTTTCTCCAACGAATACTCCACACAGATATTTACTACCGGCGTTTTCGCATCCTACTAGGCCCACAATCACAGAAGCCTCAGAGCTATAGTAATAAAATATAGCAGGACAAGCACTACCACTCGGTACCGAATTCCGCCATCAAACTCCCAAGAACTCATATCATCACACTAAAGCCGAATTTCATAGTCTGACTAGTCAAACAACAGGCTCTGTCCCACTTCCTAATGAAGAAATACAAAACATCAAATTGGTTAACTCTACTTGACTACTCTTGTATTACCCTTCTACAACCAACACGAACCACCCTTCGAATAGTCTTCACACCTACACTCACTCACTCTCAGAATAACATCCACTCATACCTGTTGACGTTACATATACCTATCCTATTACTTCGTTATGGAGCATACCTCGCTACCAAGCATTTGCTTGCCCATTCATAATACAAATACTATTAAGAGAGGCATTTCTCCAACCCTAACGAAATCCAACACCATATACTCAAAATTGTAATAACACAACTCCCTCCAACGTACGGGTATCCAAAGTATCTACTCCCTACTCATACCTTCAATACAATATACACGAGTTAATTTGTAACTCACATGACTCAAAGGTGCGTTAATCCCCTAACCTATCACTATCGTATGAAACGACCAAGCAGCCTAACGCCACCAAAGCAAGTACAAACCAACGAGAAACATTTGACAAGTACAATTACTGATATACGGAAACGCGAAGAAAAAGTCAAGGTTTGACACAAATTAAAAAATTTATTCAACTAACACCTAACAGCACCAACATTGACCACCTAGGCTTCTTCCTCCTCTTCGAATTCGCCCTCCTCCTCAGCCGTCGCATCCTGGTATTGTTGATACTCGCTGACCAGATCATTCATGTTAGATTCGGCCTCTGTGAATTCCATCTCGTCCATACCCTCTCCTGTATACCAGTGCAAGAAGGCTTTTCTACGGAACATGGCAGTAAATTGTTCACTCACACGCTTAAACAGCTCTTGGATAGCAGTACTGTTGCCTATAAAGGTGACTGACATCTTAAGACCTCTGGGAGGAATATCGCAAACAGCCGTCTTCACATTGTTCGGTATCCATTCCACAAAGTAACTAGAGTTCTTGTTCTGAACGTTGAGCATTTGCTCGTCAACCTCCTTCATGGACATGCGGCCTCTGAACATAGCCGCAACTGTCAGATATCGCCCGTGACGAGGATCGCATGCGGCCATCATATTCTTGGCATCAAACATTTGCTGAGTCAGTTCTGGCACTGTCAGAGATCGGTACTGCTGACTACCACGGCTTGTCAAAGGTGCAAATCCTGGCATGAAGAAGTGCAGTCGAGGGAAAGGCACCATGTTCACAGCTAACTTACGAAGATCAGCATTCAACTGACCCGGAAATCTCAAGCACGTTGTTACTCCAGACATCGTTGCACTAACCAAGTGATTCAAGTCACCATAAGTAGGAGTCGTGAGTTTGAGTGTGCGGAAGCAAATATCATACAGAGCTTCGTTGTCAATGCAGTATGTCTCATCCGTATTTTCCACGAGTTGATGAACTGACAGGGTCGCATTGTAGGGCTCGACAACAGTATCAGACACCTGGAATACCACTTAGTACAAATAATCAACTTACCTTAGGTGAAGGCACTACGGAGAACGTGTTCATGATACGATCAGGATACTCCTCGCGGATTTTCGAAATCAACAATGTCCCCATACCAGATCCTGTGCCTCCTCCAAGAGAATGAGTCAGTTGGAAACCTTGAAGGCAATCGCACGACTCGGCTTCCTTGCGGACCACATCGAGGACTGAGTCCACTAGTTCGGCACCTTCAGTGTAGTGCCCCTTCGCCCAATTGTTTCCTGCCCCACTTTGTCCGAAAACGAAGTTATCCGGTCGGAACAATTGACCGAATGGACCTGCCCGTACACTGTCCATCGTACCCGGCTCGAGATCAACCAACACCGCTCGTGGCACATACTTCCCTCCGGTTGCTTCATTGTAGTACACGTTTATGCGTTCTAGCTGAAGATCGGAGTCGCCATGGTACGTCCCCGTTGGATCAATTCCATGTTCATCAGATATAACTTCCCAAAACTATAACAAAATATTCACCAACAAAACTGCTTGTCTTACTTTCGCACCGATCTGATTTCCACACTGACCAGCTTGAATGTGAACAATTTCGCGCATCTTTACAAGTCACCAGCAACAACAATAACAGAAGTCAATACAAACAGCGAGCCAAGACTTTGAAACCAAACCGGTGCAGTAGCGTATATATACCTACGAGCGACTAGTAGTCATGGTTACTTCAAACGAACAATTCCATCAATTCAAATAAAATTGATGCCTCCTGTTTCTAAATAATTTTAAGTCCAAAATGTTAATTGGTGATATATTTTTCACACTTTCACTGCAAATGGAGCCCTTCGCGGAGCTTTCTACCGGCATTTGATTTTGATATATTCGTTTGATATGTTACATCATATCTCGAGAAGATTGATGCCCACTTTCGCCTCTCTTTTATCACTCCAGTGAATCGGGGAAATTTCAGCAATCTTCTGTCTTACTTCATTGCTTTTTCATGAGAGGCATATCACAGTTTAAGGTAGGCTGAAGATAAGGCCTATATAATACCTGTGTATTTACTTCAACGTTTATCATTTTATATCACATGGACATGTACTTTCCAGGGTTCAGTTTTAAAATTATTTTATCCCCTGCCGCTTTGCTCGAGGCAACGATTTTTAAGTAAAGTAGTGGATTATATATCGGTGTGTGAATTCTGTAAAATAAGTTCCTCTCCAAGAATCTTGCACCTGGTTTTGTTCATAAGCTATGAAACTGGTAACGCTTATCAACAGCCCGAGATTTGTGGCTCACATAGATACGTTTATTTGTATTACGTCTGCCTAGACTTTGACAGAATATTTCCCTAAACATGAGACGGTGAGTAAAAGTGGACAACTGTAACAATTGTATTTCTTTAGAAGTTTCGGTAAAATTTAAGTGAAGAATTCTCACGATTCACTTGACAAATTACCTCGAACCTTTTCAAAGAAATTGTCGCAATTCAAGGGACGAAATTATATTTAAGCCACTCGTCTGTTCATACCTGAATCGTAAGTAGTCCCCAAAATAGTGTAAATAATATCATGTGAACTCGTGTCAAGATTTGATGCTATGACTCGACACCAATCTTCTTGTTATACACTGTAATTCGTGTGTCTTCTCTTATATCAGTCTCTAATGAAAACGTCATGATAAATGTCTTCTTGACATGCCGTGTAGTAGAGGCATTTATATGTGTGTATATATATGTAGGTGTATGTATATAAAGTGTATGCATTGCACATGGATATGCGTTGATGAATAACTGTATTTCATTTTCCCGAATGTTATAAGTGAGATGTGGCACTGACGTTAGTCGCAGTTACAGGAATAACACAGAAGTGAACGTAATGATTATTTTGTCTTCATCAATGTCTTTCTCACTCAACTCTCAGCACGTTTTATACAAACGTCGAAATGGATTTTAGACCCTCCCTTACAGTGAGTGATAAGTGATAAAATTACCACACAGTCGAATCACAATATCATTAAAATATTTTTGTATTTGTCCATATTAAATAAGATTCAGTTGTGTTGTTAAAGAGTCAGTTTTCATTATTGTTTCATCTTACTCTGTGTGTACCTGTGTGCGTATGTATGTGTGTGTCCACAACATGTAATTTATTATATCAGAGTAGGATTTGAGCACTGTGGTAGAGTAAGCCCCATATTAGATAAATATATTTGATGTAAAGAACACTGGTACATTGTTAGTAACTGGATGACGCCTGAAGCATAATTCATTGCTCATAATCCTACAAATTTATTCACAAGGTCACATAGTTCACTGTTGGTTGATGAAATAATATTAGGTGTTCAGTTATCTCTAACCTCCACTGTCTTCGAATTCCAAAGATAAAACGAACGGACAAACGAACGAATGGTGTGTCAGTGGAATCATCAACCCCCCACAACCACACAGTAGTAGACATTTATGGATAGGTGGGAAAATTCAGCCCTTAGAAATGTTATTACTTCTCCTAGGTTATGTTGGAAAAGGTGAGGATGATGCATTCACTTTGTTGAAATCTCAGCATATCTCTCACTTCTTCACACATATGAACTCAGTAGGAGATGCAATCCAATTCACCTTTGAGTTAGAAAATGAACGAGGTGAGTTGACCATTCCAGACTGTAAAATAAAACGAATTAAAACAAGATTGTGTGATTCTTCGTGAAGCCGGGATAGGGGTGGCTGTCAAACGAACCAACTGTCTCAATAGATAGAGTGTATCGGCTTAAGGACCCGACTGATCCAACTAAGACAAATTTGTGAAACAACATGCAATGACTGTGAGGTCAGTTACATAGGTCAGACTGGTATGTCAGGGCAGTTGGGTTAGTACAACACAGAAATTTAGCCAGACTTAAAATGATTCACCCTGTTGAGGTAAATAACCTAGAAATAGCTCATCCATTGCAATGCATTCACCCAATAGGCTGGGATTGAGTGAAAGTATGAAAAGGCGATATATTCATGTGAAGATAGAGGTCAATCACTGAGTCTTTGTTCATCCAATCGGTAAGTAACACATTCAGCCGAAACAACACACTGTCTAAACAGAATCCACACAGAAAATTGCAATAGACAAGAAAGAGGAAATATAGGGAAGATATTTATACACATGTGGAGAAAATTATGAAATTACGTGGATGAATTGATATGATTATTAGCAAAACATTGTGCTTAAAAATAAACAACTTAATGGTGCTATGCTAATGTGTCAAATGGACTTGTCTAAAATGTGGTAAAATTCAACATCTTGTAGGATATAAAAGAATTGTCTCCATGCTCATGTGAGCTGAACCCTTTCAGTTTATATGGTTGTTGAATTAGGTTAATAATTAATTGGGGCACTCCATGGTAGTGAAATGGTTTATGAATAACTTTGCGGTCAACTCTATGGAAGGTCTGCTCAAAGTCGACAAAGGTGAAGTGAAGATTCGACTGCCATTCTACGCTCTGTATAGTGATGATGCACACCATTGCGATTTGATAGGTACATGATTCGCTTTCCCTGAATTCAGTTAATTCCGGGCGGAGTTCTGTATGCGCAGCACCTTTCAGTTTTTCGATTAACGACACTATTCACCTTTCTTGGTATTTTGACAAGGCCGGCTTCCTCACGATGATTGGGTATATTCATTCTTTCAACCATTTTGCGTCGAGATGTCTGCTGAAGTTTCTTCGACGTCTCTGTGACCTACAGCTTGTTATGCTGTGGTTGCCAGAGTGTCGTCGAACTTTCTTACCTCACTTCTTCCCTTCTGTATAGAGTGCGTTGTGTACTGAAGCCGGCTTCTTCTCCCGTTGTTGCAGTTTGTACCGGTTCATAATTCGTTTTTCCATCCCCATCTGTTCGTTTAGCTCCCAGACGTCCGTCGAAAGCTATTTCTTGTCTTTCCACTTCCTTTTTCCCACACCATCTGGAAAGCTTTCCTACAATGTCATCTACAAAGGGTTCCATTTTACTTCCACAGAGGTTTCCTCTGTGATGCTACACAGTGTCTCAGATTTCACTTTGCTGGCTGCAGCGGTGTCTATTGTGGTTTGGTCTCTCAGTTTCTGGGTGTTCAACTTGAATTACAGTGGTCTGTCTTCAACTGTTCTGAAGATTTCCGGCTTGACCATGAAGCTTCTTTTCACTAGATAACTGTCTGAGCCCACATCTGCTGCCTATCTCGATTTTGAGTTTAGCAGACTACGTCTTCACTTTCGTGAGGCTGGGATGAAGTATATCTGGCATTTGGTGTTTCCGACAAGTGAAGTGCAAGTTGCTTTGTGTAAATCTTTGTGCTGGTACACGCTGCCTCCAACCAACAAATTACCGAAGGCGCAAATTCTGTAAAGAGTTCACAGTTCTCATTCATTTCACCAAGGGAGAGTCTCTCGACCCAAGATGAATTCCCTACCTGCAATTTCCCACCATAATTCATCGTTCACATTAGGTATTATGATTTTGGAGTCTTATTCATTTATTGTTCAAAGCCGTCTGTAGAATTCTTGCTTCCTGTCATGTTCCGTGTTGTTTGTAGGCACCCAGTGTTGTAGAATTGCAGCTTTCTTTCCTTTTGAGTTGAATATCACTGTCAATATGCTGCGTGAGGTTGTTTCCCGCTGTACGAGAGGTCTGGATGCCGTAGGTGACATTGTGATATCCATTCCCTTAGTATGGTCGTGGTTGTCATCTGTGTGATCAGAAGTGATTATTGACTCAGCAGTTAACGATTTTCAGAGTCCACTTGCATTCCAACTGCCCTCACACATTCATGACACGTCATATCATGTCTGTGACCGATGGAGCAGCCTTCCCAGCTAGATGCATTGTGCGGAAAGAACATACATTTGCTGACTGGCTTCCCGATGGTTTTCGCCAGCCCACGTCATTCCATCTACCTGGTTCCAGTTAATGACAAGTCGGCTTTTTACATTTTTCTTGTGCTTTGAAGTGTCTGTAGCCATTAAACTGATTTTCTACACTTGAAAATCAGCCACTAGCCCTACGACCGACCTTTCGTCTCTCTCAGGGCCTGGGACATAGTTGTAAACCAAGCGACGTTCTCATACATTATGCAAATGACAACCACGGAAACCAATCTCAAGCTCATCCACTCATCAGATTTATTCGAAATAAGGAATGAATTGCCTGAAATATGTCTCTACTCTGTCTGCTCAGTCAACTTGGTTTGTGTTATGCATTTTCGGATGAATTGAAGGCAGGAAGTATTCTGAGATCTTTCACTATCAAACA